CAGCCTCCTCGGCATCCCTCGGCTGCGGCTGTGACTGTCATCGCCTCTCTGTCTCCACGTGGCCGTGCTCAGGGCGACACTGGTCACTGGGTGGCCTTGTCCCAATCTGTGGTGTGCAATGGGTATCGGGGTGAGAACCTCAGCCTGTCACTTTGGGGGATGACATTCACCCCAAGACAGCAGGAGGAGGCAGGAGCCACTTCCCAAACAGGCCCATTCCACAAGCTGCAGGGGACTCGTCAGCAGAGGGGACACATGGGACCAAAGGCCCCGAGCCATTCTCTGCTCATCCATCAGCCTTTGGGGTAACTGGCGCCCCCTGGAGAACCCCTAAACCCACAGCAGAGCCCTGGCAGGAGGATGGGTAGGACCCTACTGCTCAAGGGTGCCTGGGTGTGTGTGGGTCGCCGGGAAGCGGCATGAACTGGGCAGACACCTAGAGGGGCCATGAGGAGAGGAGGGAGGTGTGTGTCACAGGCAAGCGGTGCCAGCTCTGACACGGACTGCCTACCACAGAGCCCCCAGCTGTGCCCTGCAAGCAGGAGGTGTTGGCTTTTCCAAAGTGGAAACTGAGGCAGAGGTTGTCCCTTGACTCACCACAAGGGCCTCCTGAAGCCCGGGAAGCCTGGGCTACTCTGCAGGGTTCAGGTCGTGGTGGGAAGCTGGGAAGGCACTCCCAGACCAAGGACACCGGGGAGCAGTTAGAACCCCATGGGAGGGAGGGAGCCCAGGCCGGTGAGCCACCCTTCACAAGCCAGAACTCGAAACACAGTTTCCTTCTGCAAGTGCTTGGGCCCCAAGCTATAGAAGCCGTAGACTCAATCCACCCCAAATATGCCTGGTAAAGACCTCGGCCCTGAAAGTTTGAAAACAATATCGAATCCACTGATAAAAGGGTTTTGAGGCCCAGTGTGAAGGCACACATCTTCGATCCCCGCTACCTGGGAGGCTGAGGCAGGAGAATAGGGAATTCAAGGCCAGGATGGACAATTTACTGAGAAGTTGACTCAAAATTTAAAAATGAAAAGGGCTAGGTGTAGCTCAGTGGTAAAGCACTCACCTTGTATGGCTGAGGCCCTGGGCAAGGAGATCAAACTTCTCTTTCCCAAGGCCCAAACTGCCCACGTGTGTCCCTCCTGAGAAAGAGGGGTGGGAGGAAAGCTTCGTGGGCGGAGTGCTCTCTCCCCACAAAAAGCAGAAGCTGAGGCTGAGGATGGAAAAGGAGACACAGCCCTTATCTGCTCCTTGGCTAGGGTTTCTTCAGCTTTGGAACTGTGAGGCGGGGTTTAGAGATCAGTACAGAAAAAATACGCTTGCTGAAGAAACAACCCAGTGAGGAAGAGCTGGCCGTAGTGGTGCACGCCTGTGATCCCAGCACTTGGAAGGCTGAGGCAGGAGGATCGCTGTGAGTTCGAGGCCAGCCTGGGCTACAGGGTGAGTTCAAGGACAGCCTGAACTGCATAGCAAGACCCTGTCTCAAAAAGCAGAACAAAGCAAGAATCTGGAGAACATTTGGCAGTAACGCAAGACAGCTCGGATGCTGACAGAAACAGCCTGTGCCTGTCTCTGGGCTGCCCCAGAGCACACCCCGAGGTGTGAGGGGCTCCCTAAGGAGCTGTCACTTCCAAAGATGGTGCTCTGATCCAACGCTCTGCCATTCCTGTCCCCATGGCCTGGGAAAACATCTCCCCCCGGAAGAGACAACCAACCTCCCCACACGAGCCGTGAGGCTTTCCCACACTTCCAAACACGGCGCCAGAGTCCTGCGCCTCCGACCCCACTGTGCAAGCAAAGACTCTTTCAAGGTGTGACTTTTTTTTTTTTTTGTCTTTTTGAGACAGTCTCGCTGTGCGGTTCAGGCTGGCCTTGAGCTCACTTTGTAGCCCAGGCTGGTCTTGAACTCGCAATGATCCTCCTGCCTCAGCCTCCCAAGTGCTGGGATTACAGGCGTGCACCACCACGCCGGGCTCAAAGTGCAACTTTTAAGGTTACTGCAATGCATTCCACCACAGGGACCAAGCAGCACTTACCAGAGCGAGTCTGCTGGACATTTTATTTCCAATATTGGCCCTTAGCCTTTGAAACTGGAAGAAATAAGCACGTAGCCAAAACACAGCACACACGCTCATCCCCTGGAGAACTCCCTACAAGTAGAATTACTCCCCAAAGGGGATTCACAGCTGTGAGACTTTTGAGAGAAACCTCTCAATTCCCAACTGCAGAGGAGTGATCCTCCCTGCCAGCCCCTGCAGGAGCACAGGGCGCTTCTGATGAAGATGTCACCACCCCAACCAATAGATGGCGCTCCTTGCAAAGATTTTAGCGTCTGAAGCCCAGCAAAACTGCTGAGGAACCGCCCTTGGGCCAGGGAGGCTGAGATACACAAGGGAAAAGACGGGAAGATACAGTGAAGGCTTGGATTTTAAAAACTTATCACAGTAAAGGACACATTCCCAAGAATGATGAGATAAACGTGTTCAAAGCGATCAAGAGTGTTTTGAGAATTAATGGCAATGTGACTTTTATTGTAATCAAAATTTTAATGACGTTAACTGTAGTTTATGATCACCCCTTGTTGATCAAACGTTTATGGCAATTTCTGTCAAATTAAAAACATGACGTTGTGTCTACATTATTCACTGGATCTAGCACCGTTCGACTTCTGGCTCCTTGCCAAGGTCAAAACACCCGCGAAAGGTCAGCATTTTGAATCACTCCAGGACACGGAGGCAGTCGTGACTGAACGGCTAAAGCCACTCATGAACCCGAGTGTGGTGGTGCACTCCTGTAATCCCAGCACTTGGGAGGCTGGGGCAGGAGGATCACAATGCATTCAAGACCAGCCCAAAGTACACAGTGAGACCCTGTCTCAGAAAAGAAGACACTCCTGAAGTGAGAGAACATTCACCTTACACACATTTTAATCACACCTACACATACCAAAGCAGCCATGCTGGGAAAAAAAACCTAGAACTAACCCTGTGAGAAGTGGTGAAGATCAGAGGGGTGAGCGCCAGCTGGGGTCCTCAGAGCAGCCCCTTCCTGCACAGACGCCCTTCCGGTCCCAGGGGCCGTCCCAGGGCTCCCTCCGCCTCTCTTTTACTTCTCACTCACCCTGGATGCCCCTTCCCCCCTGGGAAGCCCGTCTGGCCCTGGCTGGATCCCGATAGCCAGCTCGCTCGGCCTCCCGCGGGGCCCCCGGCTCATGGGGGCTGCTGTGGGGCCCCTCTCCCATCAAATCTCCTAAAGCACTGGCTTTTGTGCCCTGCAGGTGACCGTGGCATGAGGCGTGAGTCAGTGTGGAGCCTTGCCAGATGGCTGTCTATGGTAAAACCAAAATCCACGCCAAGGTCGCTGAGCGGCTGGATGACTAAACCACAGGTAAAGGGTGGCAGATGGCTTAAATGGACCCTGTGGGTTTGGGCCGAACAGACGGGGTTCCAGCCCATCTGCTGGCCAGACAAGTCATGCGATTGTGAGCCTCAGTTTCCCTATATATTAAATGGCTCTAAGAAGTGGCATCTGCCCTATTAAATGAGCAGTTCACACTGGAGTCTCAGCCAGGGTCTTCTGCCTTCTGAAAGTACAGCGTGAAGAGCCATAGCAGGACAGCATCTCTGTCACCTTGTGGTCGTTGTTGCTAAGGTCTGCTGTCTTCTCAGCCACCATCTTGGGCAATAGGCAAAGCTGGCAGTAGATGTTGGTACGGCCTTTCGTCTCCTCTGCCGCTGCGGTGCGGGCTGCAGAGAATGCCGGTGGCTTTAGCGGCACAGACGCGTGGCTAGCGCACCGGGGGTGGGAGTGGACAACATGTCCCGGCAGTCTCCTGCTGACTGTGCCCACGTGGGGCCTGGGGACGTCCCAGCAGGCACTCTGGGCTGCAGGACAGGTCTGAGGGTGAGTGCACGCCTGCCCTCCTGCCCACGCTGTTTCTGGACTCCCAGCCCACTCTGCAGCTTGTCTCTCCGTGGCCACCAGGCTCAGCTCTCTCCCACTGTCCGCTGTAGACCAGCCTCACAGCGCCCCCTGGGACCCACTAAAGCAGACACCAAGCAAAGGAGAGCATGCCTTCCCCACCCTTGGCCCCCTCCACACACCCATCACTCCTGCCCTCGAGGGTCCAGGCCCAAGGTGACCACACCAGCATGCTCCAAGAATGACAGCCTGAAGCCCTTCACCCTGCAGGCTGCCTCCGAGCGCCCCGTGGACTCGGTGGGACTTGACTCCGGCTCTTCCCTGGTGTCCTTCCTGTTATCTAACTGGGCTTATCCAGCTCCTCTTCCCCAAAGCCTGTCTCTGCTTCTCAGAGCTCTGTGCCCCACCTCCCCGTTCTTTGGCAAGCTTTCCCTTGGCCTGAAATGGGCATCTCTGAGTCCAGGCTTGTCCTTCCCTGCTCTCTGGACTGGCAAACCACCGCCCATGACGCAGTCCCTTGGCCAAACCGGACCAGGATAACCTGCCCCCAGGTATTCTTATCTCCCAGGTGTCCGGAACAAGCAGACTGGCAAGGGGTGGGGTGTGCCCAGTCAACTCAGCCCATCTGGGACAGCCTCTGGGCTCTCGGGAGTACGCGGGGCGTCAGGCACCCCAATCCCCTCGCAGAGGGGAGAGGGGAGGGGCGTGCTCTGGCCATCGGGGCAGCTGAGGCCAGTAGCGAAGATGGGCTGGAGCCACAGGAGGCAGGTAAGGAGGTCCCGAGGCTAGGGATCTGCCGGAAGCTCCTCGTGCTCGGAGCAGGCCTGTACGCCGGGGACCCGAGGCGGCGCCGGAGGCTCGGCGAGACGGGGCCAATCCGCGGGGGCCAATGGTGGCGGTGGGCGGGGCCTCGCGGCGGG